TAACCACTGAGCCATCTCTCTAGCCCAAAATAAAATATTTTTTAAAGTGGCTTATTTTTGTCTTTTTGAGACAGGGCCTCGCTATAGCCCCAGCTGGCCTGTACTTGCTATATAGACCAGGCTGGCCTTGAACTCACAGAGATTCCTTTTCTTCTGCCTCCAGAGTGCTGGGATTAAAGGTATGTGCACCACCACACCCAACTCTTTAAGGTTCTTTTAAACCATTACAATTTCTTCTGTTACAGTCTATTTTTTGCCACTTAAGAGAAGCAGTCACAGGATAGCCTCTCCCTCTCCTCATGTCTTACACTTTGAAAATCAGGAGAAGAAAAAGGACATGATAGCAGTATCTGTCCCTTAAGCCTCCAGTCTGCTGGACTCAACATTAGACACCTGAAGGCAGGTCTTGTCCTGATTACCTCTTATTTCTAAAGGGCTGTAGTACAAAATCTTGTACTCAATAAAGGAATATAGTCTTGATGCAAGACAGAATTTAAATGGAGGAGAATTTTGCTTAGCTCCTTGGTCTACTTTGCCTTCATCAAATCTTTTTCTCCCTAATATCCACTTAGCAATGGAAATTGGAAGGCTTCTTCCTTGATTGTAAAGTACCAGGTAAAACTAAAAACATTTTAAATAGCTTGTTCTTTTTGGGTCAAACTTTTGAGAAGGATTAGGAAAATTAAGTATTTTAGATCATCAGCTAGCCTTTCAAATCCATTGTACGCTTAAATTGCCAGAAAAAAAGTAAACGCATTATGATAGTTCTGTGGGAGTGTCTCCCGATTGGCTAGTTCCTCCAATGGGCTGGGCCTGCCGCAGTGTGGACTATGGGGGTGTGGCTGGGAGCCATTTTGGAATGGAAGCCCTGAGCCAAGCTCGAGTCACAGGGAAGCCGAGAGCCTAGCCATGGGAATGCTGGGCCCAACAACTGAAAGACAGAATGGACTGACTTTTAATGGACCTGGGGCGATCGCTGGCCCCAGAGGCGTGAGCGAATTATGGGCACTGCATGGTCTGATAAGGCAGGCTCTGAGTCGCGAGCAGCACGGGGCTAGGCATTGGGTATTCATTCCTTTGTAAGTTAATAAATACACATAAAATATATGGTTTGTCTGATCGTACAGGAGACCCAGTGAGAATCTGGGCCACAGGGAGTAAAGACATCAACAGAAACGTCAAAGGAGCATGTGATTAAGCCACAAATTACTCTTGACATTAGCTACATGATCATTATAAGTGGATTTTACTATACATAAAATGTCTTTTAGGCTTTATGTTGAGATAAAGATAAAATATTCAATTCAAAATAAACAAATTAATCTCACAATGCCATCAAGTAAGAGCACTAATTCTGCTTTTTATGAACTCCATCAACTTACAATGCACCACTTCCCTGAGAAAAGTAGGTAGTGTAGAGCAGGGCTTGGCACACACTGTTGGCTAGGACCTACTTTTGTTTCTGAATCTGGTCTGATGTAACTTCAGAGACACTACCTAGGTTTGAATCATGGGCCTGCTACTTACTGTGCACCTGTGGGCAAACACAGTACCTCTCTGTACCTTAGTCTCATGTATAAACAAAATCCCAAAATATAAAGCAAAAATGGCTAATTATAGTAGGTACCCAACCATGGAAACAGATGTTTCACAAAAGAAAATAAATATTCACTCTTGAGGCTGGAGAGACAGCTAAGTGGTTAAGAACACTGCCTGTGTTTGAATCTCAGTACCCACATGGAGACTAACAACTGTCTGGAACTCCAGTTCCGGAGTGATCTGACGCCGCCTTCTGATCTCTGAGGGCATTGTATGACATGGGAACACTTACATACATGCTGGCAATATACTCATACACAGAAAATAAAAATAATAAATAAAATATTTAAAAAACCCAAATATCCACTATCACTAGGATGGCTGAAGTTAAAAAGAGGGTAATAGTAAGTGTGGGTGATAATGCGAACATCTTATGTTAAGGAGTTCCTGAACACTTTGAAGAGCCTGGCAAAGCATGGTGGTGCATACTTTTAATCCCAACACTCCTGGGAGGCAGATCTCTGAGTTTGAGGCCAGCCTCGTCTACACAATGAATTCCAGGTCACTGGGGCTACAGAGTGACATCCTGTCTCAACAAACAAACAAACGCAGTTGTTTTTGTTTTCTGTCTTTTTTTGAGACAGGATCTCCCTGTAGTCCCAGCTGGCCTGGAACTCATTATATAGACCAGGATGGCCTTGAACTAACAGAGATCTGCAGCCTCTGCCTCCAGAGTGCTGAGATTAAAGGCATGCGCCACCATGCCTGGCACAATCACAGTTTTTAAAAATCCCCAAACACCCTAACCATATGATCAGTAAGTCTACCCATGGGTATTTACTTACTCCAAATAAATGAAAACAAATTCACGCAAAGCTTTGGCTGAGGCAGGACTGCTGTGAGGGCTAGCCTGGGATACATAGCCAGACTCTCACAACAACAACAACAACAACAAACTACCTCCCAAACAACAAAAAACATGAGAGAAATCTCTTCATTCTGTAATGTCTACAGTGACAGTGATTAGTTCTCAGACTGATTCACTTCTTTCCCAGTGTCCTAGGACAAAAGCCAATAATCTAACCCTACAATGATAATAAACAATACCTGATGGTGTACTATGTTAAGCTAATACTACGCAATAATATTATTTTACTTAATCTCAACATTATATAATAATAGCATACATACACAATTATTTCCACTTTAGATGGGGGAACACACGCTTTAAAGTATAGTATATAAAAAACAATGGATTTCTATATAAGCAATGTACAATACAGTTCAATGCACATTCTTCTTTAAAAAGTTCATTTATTTTTATTTTTTGTGTATGAGTGCATTGCCTGCATGTACATAAGTGCATCGATGTCATGAAATGCCTGTGGAGATCAGAAGAGGGCGTTCCTAGAAGAGGAGCTATGGACAGTTGTTAGCTGCCGGGTGGGTGCTGGGATTCGAACTTGGGTCTTCTGCAAGAGCAGCCAGTGCTCTTTATCTGCTGAGCCATCTCTCCAGCCCCTCAACACACATTTTTTAAAAAATTATTTTTATTTTATGTGTATGAGTGTACTTTCCGCATGTATGTGAATGCACCCGTGTCATGCAATGCCACGGAGGTCAGAAGAGGGCTTCGGATTCCCCTGGAACTGGAGTTAAGGAACTGGAGTTAAGGACGGTTTGCAGATGCCATGAAGGTGCTGGGAATCGAACCCGGGTTCCTCTGCAAGAGCAGTCAGTGCTCTTAACTGCTGAGCCATCTCTCTAGCCCCTAAACACACATCCTTAAATGTGCATTTTTCAATATAGTTTTTATAGATAGGCTCTTATAATTGTATTTGAAATACTGAAATCATACTAGAACCCCAAATTTGGCATAGAATTTTCCTCTGAAATATTTCCATGTTATCCCCTGGGAGAAGTGTAACATAAGGGATCAGAGTTGAGGAGACAGAATTTACACTACTGCCCATTTATACCGCTCTTCATTTTGATGAAATAGCTACTGTTAAAAAGCTTAAGCTACTTCGCCGTTTTTCTTTCCTTTTTGAGACACGGACTTGCCGTCTAGCCCAGGCTGAACTTGCAGTTCTCCCAGCTTAACCTAATGACTGGGATTTGTTTGTGTTTCTTGTTTTATAGGCAACTGAACAACACACTATGCTTTTGGATCCTCCTGCCTCTACCTCCCCAGTGCTGGGATTACAGGCGCGCACCACCAGAACCAATTTGTGCAGTGTTAGGGACTGAACTCAGGGCTTTGAGCATGCTAAGGAAGCACTCTGACTAAGCTATGTCTCTAGCCCCAAGTAGTTATTTTCCAATCTTACAAATGTGAAATTGAATTAATAAAAGCCGACCTTAATTCATTTGTTTACTTTTGACTGAAGTGTATGGGGAAAACGCCAAGAAAGAGGAAAAGGTAAAGGAGAGGTGTAGGCCTTTTCTGTAACTGTGAACATAACCACTTGATAACCTATCAAGAGTAGACAAGAGGTTTCAAAAGGTTAGCTTCAATGTGGAATCTGAAAGCTTATCAATGGACTTTTCATACTGTGTCACATTAAAATTTACTAGTCTAGATTGTACTTGAATAGACTCCTTGTCCACACATGACCTTATACATCTTGCACTGGTCACTAGGAAAATACTGGCTCACTAAATTATACAGATATTCTAAACAGTGACACATTTCACTGTAAACCAATGAAAAGTCGTGTTTACTAATACCACTGATCTCATCATAAACTCTTTTAAGTTTCAGGAAGCTGTGATGCTCACAGTGGCAGATACAAATTCCTTTAACTTTTTACTTGAAACCTCATTGGCAACAAATATTGTCAGTTGTTTTCCTTGAAGTTGACATGTTTACTTCATTCATTTTCAGGAAATACCCGCCAAGTGTGAATAACTGTAGTCAGTCCTTTCAAATAAAATGGTGTTTCATGAGAAAGCAAACAAACAAAATAAACAGAACTAGTTCAGCTCCCAACTAAAACAAGTGCAACAGGTGCTTCCTTAAGCTAAGGTGCACAGAAGGGCTCTGTGTACATTAACCTGTCAGACAGGAGCAATAAATGTACAACTCAAGACTGAGCTCTAACTAGGGTGATAACAGATTTATCAAGCCCCTCAGGTGAAACCAGCCTTTCCCCCTCTGTATACAGTAGGAGACAGTGATGGTCCATGGCTGGCACAGGTGGTACCACGCCTTTACTCAAGCTGAGGTATTAGCGTTTCTGCTTCTGCAGATTTATTTAATCAGTACAAATATAAACATATTAAAATACAACATCTTAGTATAATGAAAATAATTGACATTATGGACCCTCAAAAAAGATCTCAGGGACCCATGGGCCGCACCAGACATACTGGTGCTTTGAAGCATCCATTGTGGCAAGGATAGGTTCCACTGTGCCTGTAAAGATACAAGTAACAACGCACTGCAAAAATTACCTTACCTTTGCCAAGACTAAAAACAAATGGTTCATTTCTGTCGTGACTGGAATCAAACTTCTTTCCATTTGACAATTTCCCTTTGTAATGAACGTAAACCCTGTCACCAATCATTGGCATCTCATCACTAGTCCCCACTCTTTTGACAATCTAGAAAAGAAAAACATAAAAAAGGGTAAAACTTTTTATTTATGACAAAAAAATAAAAAGGCCACACAGGCCACACCCGACAGCCAGGCAGACTCAGATGCACTGCCCTTCTTCAAGGCTCCTTCACCATTCTCTTGTAGCCCTACCTGTTAGAAAACAGTCCTTTACTAACCTCTTATGTTATATCCAATGTTATGACTCACAACATTGTCTCAAAATAATCAGACAGAAGCAAGGGTGGAAGGATGCTGCAAGGGGTCAGACAAGTCTACTGAATGAGTTCCAGGCCAGCTAAGCTAAGCTATAGACTGTCTCAAACAAAACAAAACAGAAATTAGTCAGAAATTCCCCAGCTTGTTGGTTCCCCATTCTTAGACATTAAAATCTCTCTAAACATCAATGTGCTGGACAGCTTCAGTGTCAACTTAACACACCGGGGTTGAGGGAGCCTCAATTGGGGAATTGCCTTCATTGGGCTGGCCTGTGGCCATGTCCATGGGGCACCTTCTTGATTGTTGAGTGATGTGGGAGGGCCTAGCCCACTGTGGGTGGTGCCACCCCTGGGCAGGTGGGCCTGTGTTGCATAAGAAAGCAGGCTGAGCAGGGGCCAGGGGAGCAAGCCAGTAAGCAGTGATCCTCCATGGCCTGTGCTCCAGCTCCTGCTTCCAGGTTCCTGCCCTGAGTTCCTACCTTGGGCTCCCTGATGAACTGTGACCAGGGAGATGTAAGCTGAATAAACCCTTTCCTCCCCAAGTTGGTAGTGGGCAGAGTGTTTTATCACAGCAATGGAGAAACAAACTAGGACAATAGACTTGTGATCTAGTCTATATACAGACTGAATTAGGTCAAAAAGACTGTCAGACTTAAATATTTTTTACTTATGAGTGTTTTGCCTACATGTATGTAAGTGCCATGTGTGCAATGCCCACAGAGGGCAGAAGAGGGTGTGGGATCCCCTGGAACTGGAGTTACTGAGGGTTGTCAACTGCCATGTGGGTGCTGGGAACTGAAGAGGGTCCTCTGTAAGAGCAGTCAGTGCTTTTAATCTCTGAGCCATCTTAGTCCCTTAGACTGTTAAGACTTTTTAAAAAATAGTCAATAGAAAACCTAAGGCAAAGTTTCATAGGTATGGTTTTATTTATTATTTATTTCCCTCCTGTGATGGTTTGAATGAAAATGACCCCCATAGGCTCCAAGTATTTGGACATTTTGTCCCCAGATGATGTCACTGGGGGTGGGCTTACAGAGTTCTTAAAGCCTTGCCGGATCTCCAGTTGCTCTCTTGCTTCCAGTGCCTATGTGGCGATGTGAGAGCTTAGCTTCTGCTGCTCCTGCTCCAGCCACCTCCAGCCACCATGCCTCCCTGCCATGATGGACTGTAATTCCCCTGGAACCGTAAGCGCAAATAAACTCTTCCTTCTATAAATTGCTGTGGTCAGTGTTTCTATCACAGCAGCAGAAAAGTGACTAATACAGTAATTGGTACCAGAGAGTGGGCTCTTGACTGAAAAACCTGATCATGTGGGGTTTTGGAAGGATGTGGAAGACTTTGGAAGGTTAGGCAAGAAAATTAGTTGATTGCTGTAAGCAGAGCTTAACAGGCCATTCTAGTAAACACCTGGAAGAAAGTAGAGTTGAGAACAATGTAGTTCCAGAGGGAAATAAGGACTTAAGCAGCACTTGGAATATTTTGGCAAAGAGTCTGGCTGGAGTCTGCCCTAGACCAAAAAGCTTGCCTGAGGTTAAGCTGAAAAGTAATGGACTAATTTCTTTGGCAGAAGAAATTTCAAGACAGCCTAATGTAGAAACAGTGGCATGACTACTAATGGTGAGTATTATGCAGATCTACAGTAAAAGAGAACAAACAGGGCAGAAAGAAATACAGTTTGGTCTGGAAAAGAGCACTAGGAAGATAAATGTTGGAGCCCTGGCATGTGGACAGGATCCCATTGATAAGGAGATTAAAGTGATTAAGGAGGGGCCTAGAGTTTCAAACTTAAACAATGGAGAGAGTGCCTCTAGGGCAGGACCACACCCAGTTAAGCCTCCAACTTGTGAAAGGAAAATGCTGCAGGGGCCACTGAAGAGAAAAGCTTCTAAAATGGATAAAGCAGGCTGGAGTCCATCCCAAATTTGCAGTCAAACCTGGCAGTGTCCTTCACCTGATGTTGGCTTTAGAGGCATGAAAGATGCAAGAGTGAAGGGGTCATCAGTTCTTCCTCTGCAGTTTCAGAGAGCTGCTGAGGCCAGGCAGCATCCAGCAGGGGTCCCCTGCCTAGAGAAGGCCCTAATAGGCCACTGTGTGAAGGTGAAGCCTGGTTGGCAATGGAGACCCCAAGAAGTTCATGGTGCCAGAGCTGTGAGGCATCTGCCAAGAAGACCTGCATACAGGGAGTGGTACCAGCACAAGAGAGAGATGTGTGTTGCATGTAGCAAAGCTAGAGAGGCTGAGCCATCTAAGCCCTTTGGAAGTAAAGTCCTAGAAGTTGAATGTGGAGCTAATAGATTCGGTGTTTGCCCTGCTGGTTTTCGGTCTTGTTTTGGTCTGGTATTTCCTTACTATGCCTCCATTCCTCCCTTTTGGAATGGTAATGTGTATTCGGTTCCACTGTATGTTGGGAGTATGTAATTTGTCATTTGGTTTTATAGAGGCTTACAGTTCAGATATTTACCTGGGTCTCAGAATAGACTTTGGACTTTTGAATAGTATTGAGACTGATAATGACTATGAGGACTTTTAAAGTTGGACTAAATGCATTTTGTATTTTCTATGGTCATGAGCCTATGGGGGACAGGGGGTGGAATATGACGGTTTGAATGAAAATGTCCCCCACAGGCTCCAAGTATTTGGACATTTTGTCCCCAGATGGTGGCACTGTTTTGGGAGGTCTTAGAAGGTATGGCTTCTACATGTCACTGGGGGTGGGCTTAGAGAGTTCTTAAGCCTTGCCAGATCTCCAGTGGCTCTCTTGCTTCCCGTGCCTGTGTGATGATGTGAGAGCTTAGCTTCTGCTGCTCCTGCTCCAGCCACCTCCAGCCACCTCTGCCACCATGCCTCCCTGCCATGAAGGACTGTAATTCCCCTGGAACCGAAAGCTCAAATAAACTCTTCCTCCTATAAATTGGTCAGTGTTTCCATCACAGCAACAGAAAAGTGACTAATACACCTCCTTTGCTAAAAAGACTAGCTTATCAAAAACTAGCTTGATTTAATTTCAGAAAATGATGCCCTGATATGCAGGTCAATCTGCTACCTTAAGAACAATCTGAAGAATCCATTAGTGTCACAGTTTGATGTGATTCTGAGGAACTTGTTTTCTAGTAAAGAAAAAAAAGGCAAAAATTGCTCCAAGATGAAAATATTTAGCTATAGTAACTGGGGTATTTATTTTGTTCTTGGCAGAGCTGCTAATGCAGTTGGTCAGTTCTTGGAAAAGAAAATTCAATCCAGACATGTGGTAGTGCATTTTACTGTCAATCATCTATCCAAATGAATCATTCTCAATAGATAGCAGAGGGCTGCAGCTAAGCATCTTTTGGAAAACTCAATTCAATTATTTGCTTTTAAGTTCTTGGAGATTGAGTCCCTGTAGCCCGCCCCACATAAACACCATAAACTTAAGATCCCTCAACGTTCTTTCCTCAACAGCCCAAATGCTCCTGCTCTTTTAGGACTTCCAAAGAAAAAAAGTTTCAAAAAGTTGATCTAGGGGCTGGAGAGATGGCTCAGCAGTCGAGAGCACTAACTGCTCTTGCAGAGGACCCGGGTTCAATTCCCAGCACCCATATGGTGGCTTCGAACTGTCCTTAAACTCCAGTTCCAGGGGAATCAGAAGCCTTCTTCTGACCTCCGCGGCATTGCGCAACACAGGTGCACTCACATACGTGTAGGCAATATACTCATACACATAAAAAAGAAGAAAAAAAAACCTACCCCCACCCCCCCAAAAAAATATGTAAAAGTAAGAGATTACTGTAGGGAAAGCAATGTGCTAAGTGTTTTATCCTGAAAACCCTATCAGATCCATGGTATTATTTTTTTTTGATATCTTATTTATTATTTGAGGATCTAGACAATAACGAATGGTATGACTTAAATCTCATACATTTATAAGCCTAAAACTCTTTGTTATTAGCTTTGCCCCAGAATAAAGCAGGGCACTGTGGTTTACTGCTACAGGTGTGAGGGATCCAACCCAAGGTTTTGTGAAGGCAAGGCAAGCAATGTACACTCCTGGCCTACGATGCTATGTTACCTCTAAAATTTACACTGAAATTTGACTGCTACTAGGCCAATGCTGGGAGGAGAGGCCTTCAAGAGACAATTAAGTAGTGAAGTTGGATCAATGCCTTGCCTGCATGAGTTCAACAGAGGGATGGGATTCCTTACACCAGACTGTGTTACTGTGTTAAGCCTGTACACCCTTTGTTTCTGTCTTCTATGTAGGTCCGCCTGCCCTTCTGCTTTTTTAAAAATTGAGGCATGCCAGGCATGGTGGCGCATACCTTTAATCCCAGCACTTGGGAGGCAGAGGCAGGCGGATCTCTGTGAGTTCGAGACCAGCCTGGTCAGCAAGTTTCGGGACAGCTGGGGCTACAGGAAAACCCTGTCTCAAAAAAAAAAAAAAAAAAAAAAAATCGAGGCCGGTGCTAGAACCGAGCAGATGAAGGCATTATGCTCTTGGACTTCTCCCACTCTCAATCTGAGAGCCAAAATGAACTTGTACTCTTTATAAAGCACCCAGTGTTCAGTTACAGCATACACAGGGTCTCAGGAACCTTGGAGGCCATGTTCTCTGAATATGATGCTCTGAAAAGATGAGGATAGCCTCTGAATCTCCACTGTCTTGAGAAGCATCCTGGAGTTGGGATGAGTAACGACAGCTACATGTGGAGCAGCCCCAGGAAGGCAGTATGATGACGTGAAACAGAGCAAGGAAAAGGAATACATGCAAATTCAGTACCAGGCACAGGAGAAAGCCTTTGACTTAAGCAAGATGAGATGAAACAAACTACGAACTCTCATCTGCTACTGCTGACACAGGGAACTGACTTTCTGTATGGCAGTAGTATTAAGAATTTGTAAGACGGGCTGGAGAGATGGGTCAGTGGTTAAGAACACTGGTTGTTCTTGCAGAGGACCTGGGTTCGAATCCCAGCACCCATATGGCAGCTAGCAACTGTCTGTAACTCTAGTTCCAGGGGAACCCACAGCCTCTTCTGACCTCCGCGGGCATTGCACGACACAGGTGTACTTACCTACATGCAGGCAGTACACAAATACACATAAACAAATAAATAAATAAAATTTTTTTTAAGTTTAAAAAAAAACAATTTGTAAGATAATTGCTTCAGAAAGATTTAACCATGGAAAGTGTGTGACAGTGGTGTAGGACAAGTCACTACTTAGTGTGCTCAAGTCATTTAACCTCTCAATTTCAGTTTACTGACATATAAAATGGGAGACTCTGGCCCAGCCTGATGTCACAGTCCTGTAATTTCAAATACTTGGGAGACTGAGGCAGGAGAATGGCAGGTTCAAGGCCTTCCCCAGGCTATAAGAATAAGTTCAAGGCCACCCTGAGCGACTCAGTTTGACCCTGTCTCAAACAGAAAGTAAAAAGAGAGCTGACAATGCACTGTCTAGAAAATGAGGCCCTAGACTCCAGTACCACCATCACAAAAGGGGCACACTGTGTCACAGCACTATTGTTGAGATGCAAGTAAGAAAATACGCTGGGGAGATGGCTCAGGGGATAAAGTGCATCCTGAGCAAGCATGAGGACTTGAGTTCAGATTCCCAGCAAACACCTAACATGCTAACAAGGTGTGGAAGGAAGAGTATGTCTGTAACCTTAGCACTGGGAGGCAGAGAAAAGTGATCTTGGAGGACTGCTACCCACCTAGTCTAACCAAAAGAGTTGGCTTCAGGTTTATAAGACCTTGGCTCACAGAAAAATAAGGTGACGTGACTAAGGAAGACATCCTGGCATACAAAAGCATACAATTAAAGTACAGTGAATTAAAGTACACAATTTAAAGTACAATGAATAACTAACTATATATGGTATTTTAAATAAATACACTCTCCATTCCCAAATGTCATGGCACACAGGTACAGGACTTGTACATAAAAGGAAAATCCTTTTGGAGCTGGAAAGATGGCTCAGCGGTTAAGAGCACTGGCTGCTCTTGTAGAAGAACCAGGTTCAATAACCACCACCCACATGGTGGCTAACAGTCATCTGTAACTCCAATTCCAGGGGATCCAATGCCCTCCTCTATCCTCCTCCGGCACATGATACAGTGCACTTACATACATGCAGGCAATACATTCATACACACAAAATAAAAATAATAAAATTTTAAAAGTCCTTTTGAGCTTCTGAAACTAAGGAGACAGGAGTCAGGCATAACTTGGACTTGATCACAAGGATCTACATTTAGTAAGATGTGAGAGAGTATGGTGAGTTCATCTATGTAGCTTAGCCTCTATTTCACCATCCGTAATCTCAATTAAATTAAAACCTTGGAGGGCGTTGTGCGAACCTAGAAACTTATACCCACTTGTGAAAGAGATGTACTCTTGCTCTGGAGTATGTTACTGAATATGTTAAATCTGTAGTGAAATGCTTCTTCTAATCATGTAATGATTAAAAATTTTTTAAAAAATGATTAAAAAAATTAAAACTTCACAATTATGAAGATGAAGGGAGAATCAAGTTACAGTGTTTGGTACTCAGCCTCAGCAAACCCTAGCCATCCCTCCCTTCCACAGAAAAGGGTGGGTAAGCAGTCTTTCCAGACAGCAAGCCTTCCTGCATGCTATTCGCCTCTCTGGCCTCACCTTTAGCACCCCTCTGTCTCTTTTGGAGGTGATGTCGTCCCCCTGCTCAGCCACGGTGGCCACTGGGCTTTCCGCACTGCCGGCACCTTCATCAGTAGTCATTGTCTTTGTAAGTGAGAAACCTGTCAAAAGAAGCATGTTTGATTAATGAAAATAACACCTTTTTCTCTCTTGTTTCTCAGACAGGGTCTCCCTGTAACTTCAGCTGTCCTGGAACTCACTATATAGACCAGGCTGGCCTCAAACTCACCAAGATCTGCCTGCCTCTGCCTCCTGGGTGCTGAAACTAAAGGTGTGCACCAGGATGCCTGGCAAAATATAACTTTTTTTTTTCGCCTTTTTGAGGCAGGGTCTCCCTGTAGCTGCAGTTGGCCTGGATTCTCTATGGAGACCATGCAGGCCTCGAACTCACAGAGATCTGCCTGCCTCTGTCTCCTGTGCACTGGGATTAAAGGGGTGCGCCACCACGCCCGACTAAAATATCACTTCTTTATATATCTTATATACCCCTGAGAGTTGAGCTTACTTTGACCTAAGATTTAAATCAGATTAATAGAGCTAAAACACTAAAAATGATAAAAGCATTTGCAGGGTGCATGCACTGATCTCATCAGGCAAGAAAATAAAACATCACCCAGTTCTTCAATTTCCCATCTAGCCTTGGTCCTAAATTAGAGAGTGGAACAAGTTAGGTTTGTTGGTAATTATATTCTTTAACATGATTACACAGGGAGAAGCAGTCCTCTCAGAACTTTGAAAGTATTCTTTTCTTACAGCCATTTTCTTGGTAAAGAACTAAAAACTTATCAAGTGATCTGCTAAAAGAGACAGTATTATCACAGGGGAGTGATCTAGCCGAGGAGTCAGTCCTAGCTCTGGCTACTGACATTTGCAATGTACTTAATCTTGATGAGCCTTCACTTCCCATCTGAAAAACTAGTGAGGTAGCTGTTTGTGGTGTTACAGTGAGGCATCAATGAGATAATAGTCAAGAGATTAGCACAGATTCATACGTCAAGAACGTAAGCACTTGTCCTCACTGGGCCTTCGGGGGACTACCCTTTTCATCTCCCACTTCAAATAACTGCAGAATGAGGTAACCCAGACTGCCTCAAACGGGAGATTCTCGTCTTAGCCTCCAGAGTGCTAAGAGTAGATGGAGATGCACCACTGTCCCCAGCTAAGACTAGCCACTCCTAAAGCTGCTCCACATTAGGGTAGGAACAGACTCAAGGTTCCCTCAAGCTGACTCCTGAACCCTCTTGTTTACACACTCAGAGCTAATTTATATTTGCGAAAAAATTTTACTGATAGAATAGGCAACTAGAACATGTAGTGTTTTAACTCATTTCCAAACAAGGTAAGTTTACTTCAGTATCACCAACTTGGTGTGCTGAAAGATCTTCAAAGAGAACTCTGAAACCAGGGGCTAAGCCCCTGTGCTTTATTTTCTAGCACAGTTTATACCAAAATAAAGGATCCGAATGTTTGGCTCAAGGTAAGTGGAAGGCCAGGAGAAATCATTCTCAAAAGCTAGGCTAGATGATCAGGAACATTAGATGAATGGGGTTGGTTCTCAGTTTCTAGAAACCCAATGCTTTTGACATGTTTTCCTAATGCACGGGAGTCTGTAGAAAGTACCTACACAACACAGAGACATGATCTTCTAAATATCTGGGGGTCACATAGACTGTACCCATAGGAAATCTGGAGAAGCAGAAACAATATCCTGAGGTCCCATAGATATAATGACCTCTATCAATATACCCCATGATTTAAGCACAGACAAATTAAAACCTCTAGGTGAAATCTATTGAATGATAGTCATGTAGTCTGAAAGCATCACCCCACAGACGATTTACTAGAAAAGGAAGAAGAGCTCCCTAAGAAAGTGACCTAAGCCCAAACGTTGCTTTGGTTTGGAGACAGGGTCCTTCTTTCATTGCCCTTAGTCAGGAACTTGCTATGTAGACCAGGCTGGCCTTGAACTCACAGAGATTTACCTGCTTCTGCCTCCTAGTGCTGGACTAGAGATGTGTGCCACCACACCTGGCTAAACCAAAACGTCTTAAATTATAGGTAGTGACACCACATGGGGTCAAGAAAAATTGGGCAACAGTACAGTTTTTTTAAAAAAAAACATTTTATTGATTTATTTATTTTTAATTTTTTTATTTTTGTTCTTTTTGAGACAGGGTCTCCTGCAGCCCCAGTTGTCCTGGAACTATGTAGGCCAGGCTGGCCTTGAACTCACAGAGATCTGCCTGCCCCTGCTTCCCGAGTGCTGTGATTAAAGGCATGTGCCACCACACCCGGCTATTATTTTTATTTTATGTGTATGAGTGTATTGCCTGCATGTATGCGAGTGCACCTATGTTGTGCAATGCCTTGGAGGTCAGAAAAGGGCTTCGGATTCCCCTGGAACTGGAGTTAAGGACAGTTCGTAGCCACCATGTGGGTGCTGGGAATCAAACCTGGGTCCTCTGCAACAGCAGTCAGTGCTCTTAACTGCTGAGCCATCTCTCCAGCCCCAACAGTAAAGTTTTTAAACACGCAATGGCCCAAAATTAATTCGAAATCAAATGTACCATGAATTCAGGATGTTTCTGGAATTATATTACTTGAATGTGATCTTGGTTCCAAACACACGGCGTGTACATTAGCACCTCACATACTGTTGCTCCATGCAATGCCCGCTAAATACCTGAGCTCTGATTCAAGACTATTGTACCCTAGGGACTGCAGTGTTTTTACTGTACACACAGCTATAGAAACATAATGGTTTAGTCACAGAAGACAAAGACTTGATCTCTTCCTACTGTCATTTTTCAGCATGTAATATCAAATTAGGACATCTTAGGGTTATATTAAACAAGTACATCCATTAATATGCACATTTGCTTTCGTCCTTAATAAATAGTGAAATTATATGTATATCAAAGAATTGTTTCAAAATAAAATTTTAGGGGGCTGAAGAAATGGTGGTTAAGAGCACTGGCTGCTCTTGCAGAGGACTGGGTTTGATTCCCAGAACTCACATGGAGGCTAACAATGACCCGTAACTACAGTTCCAGGGGAATCTGATGCCCTCTTCTGACCTCTTCAGGCATCGCATGACATGGGTACACTTACATACATGCAGGCAATACACTCATTCATAAAAATAAAAATAATAAAATATCTTAAAAACGTAATTTTAGCCAGGCGTGGTGGCACACATCTTTAATCTCAGTACTCCGGAGGCAGAGGCAGGCAGATCTCTGTGAGTTCAAGGCCAGCCTGGTGTACATAGTGAGTTCCAGGACAGCTGGGGCTAGAGGGAGACCCTGTCTCAAAAAGACCAGGAAAAAAAAAGAAAAGAAAAAAGAACATAATTTTAATGACGTATCAGTAAATGACTTTTATAGCTACTTTGTATATTTATATACCTGGGATTGCATAAAATTTTCTTGGGCAAAGAGGTTGGGTTAGGGGTTAAAAAGCCTTGATTTCAGCCAGGTGTGTTGGCCTATGCCTTTAATCCCAGCACTCAGGAGGTAGAGGCGGGCAGATCTCTATGAGATCAAGGCCAGACTGGTCTACATAGCGAGTTCTAGGTCAGCTAGGTCTTCAGGGAGACCCTATCTCAAAAACAAAAAGAACAAATAAGGCCTTGATTTAAACAATATTCCCTTCACATGTGATCTGCAGCATAACCAAACTGCAGCAGCAACACTGAGGTAAGTGAGCTGTGCCTCCTGCAGTGACGTGATGGGGAATTTGTCATCCACTCCATAGTCCTTCAAATCATTTAACTGGAAACTAAACAATAAGAACAAACAAAACCAGATTGTGGAGCATTCTACAACACAGATTCTTCACAACTGCTAATGTTAAAAGATTCCCAACTCACAAAGACAGAAAGGTAGACAGACAAATCAAAGGCTTGTTCTAGATTAAAGCAGATGACTGAACACAACAGCAAGTGTGAAGGCAGCCTTGGGCCAGATCTTGGATGAGGGGAACAGAAAGAAAGAATATTTTGGAGAGAAGAATTAAAAAATTTGGAAAACATCACTAGTTATTGCTGTGTGACACTAATTTTCTGGAGTACGAAATGGTGTTGTTTTTATGTGGAATATCCTTGCTCTTATAAGGCACATGCTAAAGTATTTAGGAGTAAGGTATTATGTCTATACCTTTTTCTAAACTTTGTACTTAAAATCATTTTTAATGGACACATAAAATTATATAAATTGTGCTCTGAAACTTACTGTCCAGAAAGAGTGTACATGCATACATGCAAATCCTGAAAAAAAAAAAAAGCTAAAAATCTTTTGCTTTGTTTTTGTGTATGTGAGACAGTCTTGCTATATAATTTAGGTTGACTTGGAAAACTTGCTATGTAGCCTAGATAGGCCTGGAACTCATGGTGCTCCAGTTTCAGCCTCTACTGTGCTAGGATTACAGACAGGTGTGCACCACCATGTCAGGAAAAGTTAAAAATAAAGCACTGAGGCTACAACACATCCAAAGGCAAATGGTTTCTTTGGAAATCTCATCACCGAGGTTCAGCAAAATTTTACATGAAAATACTGTCAATCAAGAATGTTTTCTTGGGACTGGAGAGATGGCTGTGGTTAAGAGCACTGGCAGCTCTTGCAAAGGACCCAGGTTCAGTTCCCAGCACCCATATGGTAGCTAACAACCATCTGTATCCAGTTCCAAGGGATCTCTCACCCTCTTCTGGCCTCTGTGGGCACTACATGCACATGGTGCACTTATATACAGGAAAAACACTAATACGCATAAAATAAAAATGTTAAAAAAATTTTTTTTCCTCAGGCCAGGAACATGTGGTGATGGCAGCAGCAAGTAAGGCCTGTAATCCCAGCATGTAGGAGGTAAAGACAGGAGGATCCAGGAGTTCAGCATCAGCCCCAGCTCTCTCTCAAAATTAAATCAACAAGCAAACAAGTAACAGCTTGCTTCAATTCAAATAGATAGAAACCTGTACAAGTTAATCTGTTAGCTTTGTAAGTGCCACTTGATAAAGGAGCTCTCTCTTCATTTTTAGTTCCAACATTTCAAGGGATGCCAGTACCTAAACTCTCAAGAGACCAGCTCTTACCAGCACTACTGA